CAGTGAGCTGAGATCACACCACTGCACTCCAGCCTGGGCGACAGAGCAAGACTCTGTCTCAAAAAAAAAGAAATGCTGAATGACGAAAGTTGCAGAATGACAAAAAGACACTATTTTTTAAAAGTTTAAAAACATCTAAACAATATACAGTATATTTATAAGTGTAGTATATATACTATTAAAGAGAATTTCCATCTATTTATAGAGTGTTTAACTCTGAGAAAGGAGGAAGAATGGGATCAGGTAGCTGCTAAAAATACTAAAGTATTTCACTGCATCTTGAATGTTCCTTTCTTTAAAAAAAGAATCAAGTATATCAGAATATTAGTACTTGACATAATTGCCTGGCAGGAATGGGAGTTCATATTTTGTATTTTATGCTGAAAATATTTCATAGTTTAAAAAGCTACAAAATATATTAGAAAAAACTTGGCTAAGTCTACTATTCTTATTCAAAACCAAAAAACTTTTAATTTTACTTTTTTACGAAGATTTTAACTTATTGTACAAAGAGTGGCCTAGTTAAGCAAATGTTATAAATTTGAATGTGTAAAATGAATTTGTATTATTCTTATGCTATCAGTTATCTATTTTTATATTGGGATTTTTTATAAAATTTCACTGGAGAAAAGGACTGCATGACTGCATTTCACTGGAGAAAGTCTTAAGCTACTTCCTGGTCAATGTCTTCTAACACAGCAAAAGTCAAAAACACAGCAATACACACATTAAAAAGTCGTTTGGAAACGTATTCTCTTAAAAGTTCACAAATCAAACCGCTGCATCGCAGTTTTGTAGAGGTAGAATTTGAGCTCAGCTTTGTGGGACACAAGTATATCTTTAAAGGAAATACCAAGGTTGAAAGGAGCAAACATTTAGCAATGAATGGTAAATAGCACAGAGGCAGAAAACTGGCAAGAAAGATTGCCTGGCTGAGTAAGGGGAAAAAAGATATGCAAACAAGAACCGGAGTTAAGGCTTAGAACAGAAAAGTCATGACTTGGAAATCAATGAATAAAGAAATGACATCTTCTCTGTTAACACTAACCACTATGGCCCCGTCCCCCATGTTTCACTTTCCCCTCAGAATTCTACGAGAATGGCTACTCCAACCAGGCTCCACCTCAAGATCCCCATACCCCTCTAACACTTGAGCCCCCCGTTGGGGAGAAGAGGCTCAAGGATAAGGATATTTTCTTTTTTCCCCTCAGAACACATCAAAGAAATCTTATTAAACAAAACAAAAAAATGAATCTAGATTTGAGGAATTCCAATAAAATGTTTAAAGAGCTCTAATACTACCAAATCTAGTATATTCTTCAGGGCTTGTAGGTTCTGATGCCAAGAAAAGATAGGAATTTGCCAAGAGTTCCCTACTTTCTAGGCTTTGACCTGCTTCCATTTGACAAGTCACATATCATCATCAATTCATGAGTGCCTTCCTAAGACACCTTGATCCATCCTTTTCTCAGCCTCTAAGAAAAGGATTCCTTCCTCGTATGAACGTCAGAAAGACTGCTCACCCTTAAGCAAGACTCTTCACCTACCAAAAGAGATTAATCTTTAAAGGCCTTTAATCATAAAATGAGCATATCATACACTAGCAAAAGGTGGTTACTTCCTGTTGTGAAAGTGCTATCAGAGAAGGGGGGAAGGAGGCTGGGCACAGTGGCTCACGCCTGTTATCCCAACACTTTGGGAGGCTGAGGCGGGCAGATCACTTGAGGGCAGGAGTTCAAGACCAGCCTGGCCAACATGGTGAAACCCCCATCTCTACTAAAAATACAAAAATTAGCCAAGTGTGGTGGTGCGCACCTATAGTCCCAGCTACTTGGGAGGCTGAGGCAAGAGAATTGCTTGAACCTGGGAGGTGGGGTTGCAGTGCAGATCAGGCCACTGCACTCCAGCCTGGGAGACAGATTCGTCTCAAAAAAAAAAAGAAAAGAAAAAAAAAAAGGTGGGAAGGAGAGGATAGTGTCAACACCTTCTCAGAGAGAGCTCCTATCTGAAGGTCCTTGTCTTTTCTTCAGGTACTATATTTCAAATAAAGAGAGAATGTAAAGTTTCTTGTATATTTCTGGCAATATACTTGTACTAAATTACAATTCTTATGTCTGTATGTTTCCTTCATTAGACTGAGAGTTCCTTGAAGGCAGGAACTCACAGTCTATTTATTCATTTTGTGTTCATAGGTTAACACAATGTTTGACACAGTAATTATTCATTATATGTCTGGTGAATGAAGAGTGAACAAAGGAATGACCAAAAAAAAAAAAAAAAGGTAATAAAAATCTCACTGAATCAAGGAGAACAAGTGAAAAAGACAATGACAATGTAAAGTAACATTCCTATAGATATCTCAAGCCAAATTAATGACTTCTCTCTGTGTGTGTGTGTATGTATATATGTGTGTGTGTATATACATATATATATATATTTTCTGAGACGGAGTCTTGCTCTGTTGCCAGGCTGGAGTGCAGTGGTGAGATGTCGGCTCACTGCAACCTCCACCTCCTGGGTTCAAGCGATTCTCCTGCCTCAGCCTCCGGAGTAGCAGGGACTACAGGCACGCGCCACCATGCCTGGCTAATTTTTTGCATTTTGGTAGAAACAGGGTTTCACCATGTTGGTCAGGCTGGTCTCGAACTCCCGACCTCAGGTGATCCACCCACCTCAGCCTCCCAAAGTGCTGGGATTACAGGCGTGAGCCACCGCGTCTGGCCCTTGCTTTGTATTAACGATTTAAAATGAAAAGTTTCAAGATATGAAAAACGCAACATGTAATTTTCCTTCTATGATATATGTGCAAGTCCAACTTGAGCTCCTTAGTATTTCATTCTACTTTTTCTAACTCCATTCTCTTGTCTAGAAGTTGCACGAGGGCCTCAAATTCATTTTTTCACCCTTAAAATGCCTTTGGGGTACTGAATTCAGCCATCCTTAAGCTAATATGTAACTACTTGAAGCTCTGGCTTATGGCATTGGCCATAAAATAATCTAGACACAGTTTTTTTGTTTTTGTTTTTTAAATTTCAACAGCAGTGCCTCCTTTACAACTGTGGGACTAAACTGTGATCCACTAAACCATGCTGGAGCCTCGGGAGCCAGGCAGGGAAAGGTTTAGAACAGAACAGTAGGAGTAACTCTGCCTACTTCCACCAGAGAATTTTTCCATCAGAAAACAATCAACTTCCAAGAAAGATTTACCTTAAAGAAAAAAGTTCACGGTTTTTAAGTTTTAAAATCATTTGTCTAATTCTATTTTGTACCTTCTGTTTTATTTCATTACAACAGAACCAAAGTGTTCTTTTAAAAGCAATTTTTTTAAAGTACAAGTTGCACAAAGGTAGTATGATTCAAACAAAAGAATAAATACTGCAATGAAGTGTTCCAAAAGGAAACAGTGAGCCTCAGAGTGATGTTTCCCAGATTTATGCCAGTCACCTGTATTCAGCCACCAAGAAAAAAGTTGAATGAAATAAGGAACATACAAATTTGAACTATTTACATATATTATTTGACTCAAACATATTTTTTTAAATGGCTTAGGGATTACACAACGTACCAGAATAGGGCAGTTTCTGCAGTTTCCTAATAACCAAATGTTAACCAAGAAACAGGTGAATTACTGCCCAAGATGTGCTGTATTCTTGTGAGTCCCCCCGCCCCAACCCCATTTTCAAGTTCTAAAAATTTACCTAGAGTTCTGTTAACTAAGGCTACAAAAAGAAACAAAAAACAAACCTGTAGTCCCAGCTACTCGGGAAGGGAAAACGGACGTGGAGGCTGAGGCGAGAGGAATTCTAGTCGCACCTGGGCAACATAGTGAGACTCAGACTCTCAAAAATACATACATATATGTCTGTTTGTTTTAGTGTTACTCAAATTTCCAAAATAATTTCGTATATATCTTGTCCATGTTTTTCTCATTCTATAGTCACTCAGACCAGCGCTTTATGACCGCAACAAGTAAAATACTTGTTGTTCTGGAGTGTTTTGAGACTCGAGATTTCCTTTTCATACTCTAAAACAGAACATCTCCTAGCACCCGTGCAATCTTTGCAATTCGGGGATGAAGAGCAACACCTTTACAACTGCAATAAATCTTAAGACTACCCTATCAGGGATTGAATGCAAGAGTAATATAAATAATGGGAAGTAAGTTCTTCCTATCCAATGCGGCTGTCTAGGTGTTAAGTGTCTGGTGTTGGGCTTCTCTAGACAGTAGGGTCTCCACTGCTGCATCATCCTCAAAAAATGATGGGGCAGACACAGAAATAACTAGCTGTCGAACGAGCAGGAAGTTTTTAATCACCAACTACACAATTACTTAATCAGTCCAGTCTCCAGCGAGCCCTAGGCTCTTCCCAAATCCTACGCTTGGAAGGGAGAACGGCCCTTTGAGCGTCCCCAAATTCACGCGGCAGGAAGCACTCCCCAAATCGCTAGCGACGCGCCGAGGTTGCCCCCAGAAAAATTCCAACGTCGAAGTAGCGGGCAGCACCGCCCCTCCCCTCCCTACGCTTGGCTTCCTAATCCGGAGTCGCTACCGCCCACTTTCTAGCTGGACAAACAGCAGTCCAGGGCCGGGCACAGAGCAGTCCAGGACCGGGCACAACACTCACCCACGTCTTGCTCGAAGGGGTTGGCGGTGAACAAAGGCATCTCGCCAGCGCCCGAGCCCTACTCGCTGCTGTCTAGCTGAGACTCCGCAACTGCTCCCCGCCGGGTGACCCGCGGCCACGGCTCCCTAGGCCGCTCCGCTTCGGCCTCCGTCCCCGCACTTCCGCCACCGCACCTGCCCGGCTCCTGCCTGACGGGCCGGCTCGGAGTCCACCCTTCGACCCCGCGCTCCTGTCCCAACTTTTCTCCCGGGGCAAGATCCCTCCGATCACGGGCGTCCTCCCAAGGCCTTTGTCGCTGCCCCAGTCCCAGACTTTTGTAGGGGTCAGGCGGCCGCTACGGCCACCTTTCCAGCGCTAGGACCCCGGCGAGCCACGGAGCCGGGGACCTTCGGAGCCGGAAGTAGTCCTGCCTGGAACTGGACGACCCCGGAAGCTGCAGTGCCGGCGGCGGCGCGGCAGGGGGCGCGGTTGCCTGTGGTTTTTCGCGTTGGACGCCGGCTCTGAGGGCCTTGTTCTTGTCGCTAATTTAGTTGGTTCCAGAGCGGCAGGACTCGTAGCTAGAGAACGAGGAGCCACGATGCGTACGCGTTACAGTCCTGTTTCCCTAGAAACGGAGCCGCCGGCGCAGAGGTGGCTTTGAGATTCTGCGAAAGACCTGACTGCTCTCGAACACTTACTGTGTTGCACCCTCCCTGGGCGCCCAATCCAAACCCCGTCGGAATAACCACCCGGGACAGCGGTGGTCGAAGTAACTACGCCTAACTTTTCGCTTTCCATCGTGTCCCCCCATAAAAACACTGCTGGACCCCGGGAATCCAAAGTCGAAGGAGGCACACTCCCTGCCTTAGAGAATTTTATAGGGGCAGTGCATAACGTACATGATGGTGTATGGCGATTCGGATAGTAGTACAAGTCATAAACTCAAATTCCTATAGGATCCAGGCAGGTATTTAAATGAATGCAAAAGCCCGGCACCCTTCCCACCCACATATTCTCTGCTCCTCTTAGAAAACTGTAGTAATGATTATGTTGCCTGTCTCTCTCCTCCTCATTAGATTATAAACTCCCCGATGAGTTTTGGTCACTACTGTATCCCCAGCGTCTAAAACAGTGTCCCAAGTAATAGGTGCTCAATACTTTTCGAATGAAGCTGTAACTTTCTAACCGAACAGTGCATATCTAAAGATGTCAACTATTGGCAAATTTCAGCCATTTGTTGAAATGTGGGTCCTACTAGAGTTTGCAATTTTTTAACGATTTTTAAATGTTGAGAATTACTCCAACATTTTAAATAATGGATTAATCAAAACCATTTTACAATCTCCAGTATAAAGACCTGATGCTATAAAGAGAGAGCTCATACACATTCAGAAAGGTGGTTGCATTTTATAAAGTTAGGGGCACAAATGAGAAGGAATTGTGTAGGTGAAGGGGCTGTTTTTCATAGAATGTTGAACCTAGGATGTTCAAGATAAATTGGGAGGCTGGGCATGGTGGCTCATGCCTGTAATCCCAGCACTTTGGGAGGTCAAGGCGGGCAGATTGCTTGAGGCCAGGAGTTCAAGACCAGCCTGGCTAACATGGCGAAAACCCATCTCTATTAAAAATACAAAAATTAGCCAGGCATGATGGCGCAGGCCTGTAATGCCAACTTCTTGGGAAGCTGAGGCACAAGAATCGCTTGAGCCCAGGAGGCGGAGGTTACAGTGAGCCAAGATCAGGCGACTGCGCTCAAGCCTGGGCAACACAGCAAGACTGTCTCAAAAAAAAAAAAAAAGTTGGAGATTTTTTGGGCAGATAAAGAATTTTTGTCTAAGACTTAGTGTTGGAATGGAAAACAAGGCTAACTAGGGATAAGAGGAAACAGATTGAGAAGAATTTTAAAGGGCAAGCTGGGAAATTTTTATTTTAAGGCACTCAATAATTATTTAAGGATATTGAGTAGCAAAATAGTATATATATATATTTTTTTTGAGATGGAGTCTCGCTCTGTCACCAAGGCTGGAGTGCAGTGGTGAGATTTCGGCTCACTGCAAGCTCCGCCTCCTGGGTTCACGCCATTCTCCCGCCTCAGCCTCCTGAGTAGCTGGGATTACAGGCGACCACCACCACGCCCGGCTACTTTTGTTTTTGTATTTTTAGTAGAAATGGGGTTTCACCATGTTAGTCAGAACGGTCTCGATCTCCTGACCTCGTGATCTGCCTGCCTCGGCCTCCCAAAGTGCTGGGATTACAGGCGTGAGCCACCACGCCTGGCCGCAGAATGGTATATTTTTAAAAAGAGTTTTCAGAATATAGTCTGACATCAGTGTGCATGACATATATAAAAACGCAGACCCAGTCAGAACAGTTTAAGAGGCTATTATGCTTGAAACCATAAGAGGAAATATTGTGGAGAAGCTTGTATTAAGAGCAGGAGACTGTCAGGTGTGGTGGCACACGCCTGTAATCCCAACTACTTGGGAGACTGAGGCAGGAGGATCGCTTTGAGCCCAGGAGTTGGAAACCAGCCTGGACAACATAGCAAGACCCCAGTCACAATTGGAAAAAAAAAAAAAAAACAAGCCAGGCAAGGTGTTTCATACCTGTAATCCCAGCACTTTGGGAGGCTGAGTTGGATGAATTGCTTGAGCCCAGGAGTTCCAGACCAGTCTACACAACATGGCAAAATCCCATCTGTACAAAAAATACAAAAACTAACCAGGTGTGGTCGTGCACGCGCAGCTACTTGGGAGGCTGAGGTGGGACGATCACCTGAGCCCAGGATTTCAAGGATACAGTGAGCTATGATTGTGCCACTGCACTGCAGCCTGGCTGAAAGAGTGAGACCCTGTCAAAAAAATAAAATGAAATAATTTTTTAAAAAGAGCAGAAAGCTGAGGATTTGCCTTTGGAAAGCATTCATTTTTATTTTTATTTGTTATTATTATTTTTTTGAGACATGTTCTTGCTCTGTCGCTCAGCCTGGAGCGCAGTGGCGCAATCTCGGCTCAATGTAGCCTCTGCCTCCCAAGTTCAAGCAATTCTCCTGGCTCAGCTTCCCATGTAGCCGGGACTACAGGCGCAGGCCACCATGTCTTGTCTAATTTTTCTATTTTTAGTAGGGATGGGGTTTCACCATGTTGTCCAGGCTGATCTCAAACTCCTGACCTCAAAGTGAACTATCCGCCTTGGCCTCCCAGAGTGCTGGGATTACAGGCGTGAGCCACCGCTCCTGGTCACATTCATGTTTTAAAAAGACTCTTTTAATTCCTCCTCTTCAAAGGCGAGTATACTCAAGGATCTATAGGTATTTTTTTTTTCTAGGTATATATTCAGTTCCTCAGTGAGTTCCTCTAATTAACAAAGTTTTTTTTAGTCTTTTGTAATTAACATTTTTAATAGTCACCAGGAGCCAGACCCTGTGTTAGAAACAAGAGGATATAAAAATTGTTCACTGTTGCTTCATCTTAGGAAGTAATTGGGCAATTAAAAAATATTTTAGTGGCAGCCCACAAATTCTGGTGTGCAAAGAATTTGAAAAACACTTTACAAACAAACAAAAAACCTGGAGGCTTGGTGGCATGCACCTGTAGCACCAGCTACTTTGGAGGATGAGGCAGAAGGATTGCTTGAGCTAGGGCAGTCAAGGCGCAGTGATCCGTGATCATGTCACTGCACCCCAGCCTGGATGACAGAGGGAGACCCTGTCTCAAAAAGAAGCAAAAAAAAAAAAAAAAAAAAGAGAGAGAAAGAGAAAAAGAAGAAGAAAAAGAAAATATTTTATTCACCTTATTCATCTTTATTTATCTTTTTTTTTTTTTTTTTTTTTGAGGCAAGGTCTCTCTCTCTGTCACCTGGGCTGGAGTGCAGTGGCAGTTATACCTCATTGCAGCCTCAAAGTCCTGAGCTCAAGCTCCTGCCTCAGCCTCCAAAGTAGTTGGGACTATAGGTATGCACCACTGACCCTAGCTCTTTTTTTTTTTTTGTAGAGACAGGGTCTCACTATGTTGCCCAGGCTATTTACCTTCATTGATTCCTTCTCTAATGCTCTTCGTTTTTAAAATGTTGATCCAAGTTTCTGACCTGCATCATTTTCCTTCTCTCTCAAGGATTTTTAACTCCTTGCAAGGCAAGTGTACTGGTGACAAATTCCCTCAAATTTTGTTTGCCTGAGAAAGTCTTTCTCCCTCACTATTGAAAGATAATTTCACTGGATACAGAATTCTAGGTAAGTGGTTTTTTTTTTTTTTCTTTCAATACCTCAAAGATTTCACTTTTCTCTCCTCTTGCTTGCACAATTTCTGAAGAGAAGTCTAACGTAATTCTTATCCTTACTCCTCTGTAGGCAAAATGTGTTTTTTTTCTCCTTTTTGCTTCTTTCAAGATTTTCTGTCTCATGATTATGGTTAGGTGCAGATTTTTTGGTATTTACACTGCTTAGTGTACTCTGAGCTCCTGGATCTGTGGTTTTTTATCCATCATTAATTTGGGGAAATTCTCAGTCATTATTGCTTCAAATTTTCTTCTTTTCTTCTCCCTCTGGTATTTGTTATGTATATATTACATCTTTTGTAATTCTCCTGCCATTTTTGGATATCTGATTTTTTCTTTTTTTCTCTTTGCATTTCAGTTTTAGAAGTTCCCCCCCCCACAATTTTAGAAGTTTCTATTTATATTCCTTCAAACTCAGCTTCTTTGTCTCTGAAGTTTATTGATGGAGCCCATCAAAGACATTTTTCCTTTCCGTTAGTGTTTTTTATCTCTAGCATTTCCTTTTGATTCTTTCTTAGAGTTTCTATCATTCTACTTACACTACCCATCTGTTCTTGCATAATGTCTACTTTTTTCCATTACAGCCCTTAACATATCAATCACAGTTAATATAAATTCTTTGTATAATAATTCTATTATCCATATTATAGTAACATTCTTGCCATACCTGATTCTGATTCTGATGTTTGCTCTGTCTTTTCAAACCGTGTTTTTTGTCTTTCATTAAGTGTTGTCTTTTTGGTGAAAGCTGGACAACATTTACTGGGTAAAAGGAACTAAAGTAAACAGGCCTTAGTATCAGGTTTTATGTTTATCTGGCTAGGGATTAGGCTGTGTTTACTGCTTGCTATAGCGTTAAGTGTCAAAGGCTGATTTCCCTGTTTTTGTCTCCTCTGTTGTCTTTGGGTTCCTGAGACTTAAATAAGGTCTGAGAGTAGGTCTCAATTCTTTAGTGAGCCTGTGCCTCTGCTATGAACTTCACAAGTGCTTTCTGGCCATGCATGGTGGCTCATGCCTATTATCTCAGCACTTTGGGAGGCTGAGGTGGGAGGATAACTTGAGCCCAAAAGTTGAAGACCAGCCCGGGCAACATAGCAAGACCCTGTCTCTACAATAAATTAAAAAAAAAAAAGGCTGGGTATGGTGGTGCATACCTGCAGTCCCAGCTAGTTGGGAAGCTGAGGTGTGTTGATCACTTGAGCCTGGGAGATGAGGGCTCCCTAGTGAGCTGTGATCGCACCACCTACACACTCCAGCCTGAGTGACAGAGTGAAACCCTATCTAAAACAAAACAACCGCCACCACAACAACAAAAACACAGGTGCTTTCTGCTCCTCTCCCCTTACCTACCTCCCCATCTGCAGTCTCCAGTTTCAGTGAGACAAGAAGGCTTAGGGGAAGCTGGAGTTGAGAATTTCCCTTCCACCAGCTACGTTAAGCTCTGGTAAAACCCTAATTGGTTAGGCTTGGGTCAAATTGTTTCTCTTGAGGATGCTCTTTAAGAACATAATTCTGTGGGATAATTCAAAATAATTTCTTTTCCTCTCCCCCTTCCAGAAACACACAGTGATTTCTCTTACTGTGAACCAGATTGAATTCCTGGAGGTAAAACTCACAAAAGTGTAGGGACCCTTCAATAACTAGGCCCCGCTGGAGTTTCTAACTCTCAGACTTGTCCACCCTGAGCCTCCAGCAATTTGTCAATGGCAGTTCAGGTTTTCCACCCCAGCCACTGGTCCCCAAGGACGTTTCTGCTCCAATAAGTTGTGATCCTCTGTATCTATCTGTCTGCCTCTCCAATTTTGAGGGCAGTAATTTGCCCTGTGACCTTAACTCTCTATTGGGTATAAAATGCTCCAGGAATAAATGCTTGGTGCCGTAAAGTAAAACCAGCACTCAGGCAAAAGTTTAATTCTCTCGGCAAGGCAATTTACTTCTGCAGAAGGGTGCCACTTGGGTCAATCAAGATCACAAGAGCACAGAGAACAAAGGAGACCAGGGGGGTTTGTCCTTAACGCAGTCCCTATCTCTGTGTCACTCTTCCATGGGCTGGGGTTGGACTGCACAATCTGAGCTGACCCGATTGGCTACTTATACATATTTTCCTAAATATAGAAGGGGACGGGGAGGTGAGGTACAGAGGTGGAGCGTGTGGAATGTGCAGTTTCGGGGGAACAATTGGTACAGGTAACAAGGGAACAGATGTGAGTTATTGATTAGAGCTGATGGGAAGTGGGTAGGCTGTTTATGGTAACTAGGGGCAAGGAAGAACAAGAAAGTTGAGTTTGAGAACAAAGGATAAGGAAGTTAACAGGCTAAACCCTTTGAAGAGAAACTCAGAAAGATTTATTGTATCTTACACTCTGGTGGATCCAAGAAGAGTTGTTGATTTTTACTTTGTTCAGTTGTTTTCCTTGTGTGGATAGGAGTGGTGACTTGTAAGCTTCCATGCCTGATTAGAACCCAGGAATCAGCTCCCTTTTTTCTATCTATCTCTCTCTCTCTCTTTTTTTTTTTAACACGGGATGTCACATTGTCACCCAGGCTGGAGTGCAGTGTGGCACAATCTCAGCTCGCCGCAACCTCAACCTCCCAAGTTTAAGAGATCCTTCTAGCTCAGCCTCCTGAGTAGCTGGCACTACAGGCATGCATCACCATCCCCAGCTTGTGTGTGTGTGTGTGTGTGTGTGTGTGTGTGTGTGTGTGTGTGTGTTGAGACGGAGTCTTGCTCTGTTACTCAGGCTGGAGTGCAGTGGTGCAATCTTGGCTCACTGCAACCTCTGCCTCCCTGGCTTTAAGTGATCCTCCTGCCTCAGCCTCCCAAGTAGCTGGGACTACAGGCTTGTGCCACCACGCCCAGCTAATTTTTGTATTTTTAGTAAAGACAGGGTTTCACCATGTTAGCCAGGCTGGTCTTGAGCTCCTAGGCTCAAGTGATCTGCCCCCACTTGGCCTCCCCAAAGTGCTAGGACTGCAGGCATGCACTATCACACCGAGCCCTTTCTATCTCTTTTCTATTATAAGTGCCACAGTGTTTTAGACCAGCATACTGGAAACCTTGGAATAAACTCTGACTTTGCTCTGATTTTCCCATTTTTTTAAATTTTTAATTAAATTTTTAAATTTTTAATTTTTTAGATTTCCTTTTTCAAATTTTGTTTTTGCTGTTTTTTCTCTTTCTTTTGGCATTGCCTCCATTATAGCACAGGCTTCCATTTCCTCCATGCCTTCCAATTGCTTCCTTTTGAAACAGAGTGCCCAACGTTGGGCTGAGAGGAGGCTGGAGTCTACTTTATACTCTATTAACTAAGTTAAATGCCCATAAGGCTACATCCTTCCTAGAGAGGGAGGCTTTTTTTTTCTAGTCGTCAAAAGAAATCATGTGGGCCAGCCTACCCCTGCACATAGCAGTCTACTTAATATCCTGAAATACCACTTTTGTGATTTTATTCTCTCCCTTGAGAATCTAGTGGATTTTGCCTGCCATAAAAAGGTCAAGCTGGGGTGTCACTGTCTCTGGTAAATGACTTATTTTTCCCTATCTAACAGACTTATTTTCTATAGCTTAAACCATCAGTTTTTGGAGTCACATAAAATTTCAAATCACGGCTCTGCTACTGACTATGTAACTTTGAACAAATACTTAAGTTTTAGGGACTTCAGTTTTCTTTCTTTTCTTTCTTTCTTTTTTTTTTTTTGAGACAGAGATCTCAGCTCACTGCAACCTCTGCCTCCCGGGTTCAAGCAATTCTCCTGCCTCAGCCTCCTGAGTAGCTGGGATTACGGGCACCTGCCACCACGCCCAGCTAACTTTTTGTATTTTTAGTAGAGACAGGGTTTCACCATGTTGGCCAGGCTGGTCTTGAACTCCTGACCTCGGGTGATCCGCCTGCCTCAGCCTTCTAAAGTGCTGGAATTACAGGCATGAGCCACCGCACCTGGCCCTTTAACTATATACTTTATTATTTATTTATTTATTTTGTATTTTGAGACAGACTCTCAAAATATAAATAAAACATTTAATATACATAAAATATATTAAATTTAAAAATACTTTATTTATTTATATTTTGAGACAGTCTCATTCTGTCACCAAGGCTGGAGTGCAGTGGTGTGATCTCAGCTCACTGCAGCTTTGACCTCCGGGGCTTAAATGATCCCCCACCTCAGACCCCCAAGTAGCTGGGACTATAGGCACACGCCACCATGCCTGGCTAATTTTTGTATTTTTTGTAGAGATGGGGTCTCACTATGTTGTCCATCTGGTGTTGCATTCCTGGGCTCAAGCAGTCTGCCCACCTTGACCTCCCAAAGTGCTGGGATTACAGGCATGAGCCACCACACCTGGCTACTATATACTTTATAAGATTGCTGTGAAGATTAAATGGGGTTATGAGAGCTTTTTATATAGTAAATACTCAGTAGCACTCACTATAGTACAATAGAAGTTTTTTGCGATGATGGATGTGTTTTTTGTTTTTGTTTTTGTTTTGAGAAGGAATCTCACTCTGCTGCCAGGCTGGAGTGCAGTGGCGTGATCTCGGCTCACTGAAACCTCTGCCTCCCGGGTTCACGCCATTCTCCTGCCTCGGCCTCCGGAGCAGCTGGCGCTACAGGCGCCCACCACCACGCCCAGCTAATTTTTTGTATTTTTAGTAGAGATGGGGTTTCACCAGGTTGGCCAGGATGGTCTCGCTCTCTTGGCCTTGTTATCCACCCGCCTCAGCCTCTCAAAGTGCTGGGATTACAGGCATGAGCCACCGTGCCCAGCCGGGTATGTTTTGTATTTGCATTGCTCAATACAAATACCAATAGGCACATGTGACTGTTGATCACTTGAAATGTAACTAGTGCAACTGAGGAACTGAATTTTTAATTTTATTTCATTTTAAATGCAAATACCCACATGTGGCTGCCTAGTAGCTGGTGTAATAGAGTGCTCTATACCGTACTTGA